CCCTTGTATGCAGGTGGTGGAAAAGCAGAGTAGGATGCATTTTGCAAACCTCCTGGTCTAATCGTTAGTCTTCTTCTGTGGGGGAAAGGTCACATCTTTTATGTAGCTACCTCACAAAGACGGTTGTAGGAAGGGAAGATCACCATTCAGTCCACCAGCTTCATGGAATGGATGAGTCCTTCAGGAGGAATTTCTTGTACCTGTACAATAGCCCAAGCACCTTCCTGGGCACCAGGCATAACAGCAATAGAAAGACAAAGTCTCCACCCTGTGAGTTTACACACTAGTCAAGGCAAGTGGTCCCTGCCCTAGAGGGCTGTCATATGCCCTCAAAGTATGTAGGCAACAGGGAAGAGAAAGCACGTCCTATTCTAGACCGGTTTTGCAAACACTGCTGCTATAAGGACAGCATTTTAGGTGACAACCACTTTAGATGAGGCCTCCCCTTTAACAAAGTCCAAACTGACTCTGCTTTATGCTAATGCTCTTCCAGACCAAAGAGAGAGCAGAGTTCACATGTGATCACGGAAAGAAATCCAGCCCTGTAATTCTTGCTTTTGCTGGTCTACCTTCCCTGGGCCTCCCTATGAAGCCAATGTATTAACACAAGAATTTTCCTCTTTACGTGAACAATGGTTTTTGTGAGTTTAAATAGGCCAGGGTTTATTTTGCAAAATGTATTCCAGACCAGGTCATGCCATCCCACAAAGACAGCATCTTTCACTCCAACCAGCTCCACCAAGGAATAAGGAACATGATGTAGGAAAAAGTTGTAAAGGGCTTTGAAATAGACAAATGTATGGGAGGCCTTGAAATGAACCAGAAGTTTTGGCACAGAAGTTTTGGCACAGAAGTTTGGGTGATCCCTACCTTACATTGTCTGTGAGTTATGTTCACACTTCCATAAGTTGTAGCAAACTGATAATGCCAATGACCCTCATCCTCAGAAATTCCAACAAGTTGTATCGGGGGATGGAATTAATTACTGCCAAGAGGACAGATCCGTTTTGCATCTACTCATAAATTAATGTCACCATTCTTTTCTGCCTATAGTATATGGTTGGTGCTTTGAATTCTGTTTTGAACCAGCTATAACATCTTACTAGTTCCCTCATTAATTAATGAGTTAAAACAAATCTCTGATGTGTGTTCCTTTTATATCTGTATAAGGGTCATGGTTTTACTTTTATTTGAAAATTATCTTGTAACACTTGCAATAGGCCAGATTTCTCGTCCTGTTTCTCAAGCAAACATTAATGGTCATTTTCTTTCCTGGGAGAGCAAAGGCCTTGGGATTTGGAGCGTTCACTTAAGTCCCATGCCCTCTGTCTCTCCCCCCAGCATTATTAGGGC